CATCAGATTTGGAAAGGTGTAAAGTGGACGAAGAACAAAAAGGCGTTGAAATACCTGTATAATTAGCACGTGGAGGGTTTTTACCATTTTGGAGGAAGGCCTAGATTTGAGAAAACACCTCAGAGGGGAACTGAAGTGACTGATCAGGTATTTTGGTTGTAATATGAGCAGGCTCACTGCTTGCTTGATTAGCAGCAAATTTTTTATTTTGATTTGGAGGTTGAACATATTTTCCATGAAGCTTATGGCCAACGAGAATTCAATTAAATGGTAGCACCTTTCAACTGTATCAGTGGTGCCATCACAGTAAGTGCACAACAGTGACTTGTTAGACCATTGAGGTTTTGAGGAAGAGGGCCTGACGTTGGTGATCGTAGTTTTGCTGTTTGAAATTGGGCTGAGATTTGACATTTATAGCATGAACTTGATCTGCTCCCTTATGTTAGCCCTCTTTGCTTTTCTTCTTCACAGAGAAGAGAATAAGCTTTCTTTATAGTAGGCAAAGGCTGCATCAACATAATCTGCCCTCTCACAGCAGAATAGGACTCGTTCAATCCCATAAGAAATTTTCCTAGCCTGACTTTTTCTTATTTTTCGTTCAAATGCTTCAGTCCTCCACAAGTACAAGTAATAGGACTGCAAATCTTCAGTTCATCCCACAATGTCTTCATCTTAGTATAATAAGTGAAAATGGATTCTTGATTTGTTTCAACTCAACAATGGATTGTTGAAGTTGATAGTGTTGAAAAAAATCACCTTGTGAGAAGCTTTCTTGTAAATCTGTCCAAATTTCAGAAGGTGTCTCAACATAGAGAACACTATTGGCAAGGTCTTGACTCAATGATTTGAAGATCCAAGAAAGAACCATATCATTACAACGTTGCCATGCTTGATGTTTGTAATCATTCTCACATGGTGTAGGTATGATTCCTTTGATGAATCTCAATTTGTTTTTAGCACTAAGGCTCACCAACATCGATTGTCTCCACCTAGGATAATTGGTTCTATCTAGTACTTTTGGAACAAGAATCATTCCTGGATGATCAGAGGCATGAATGAAAAGAGGATCGGATGGATCTATAGTGAGGGTAGACATGGTACGAACCACACTATTGGAACCAGTTTCTTGTACACGGTTGGAACCAGTCAGTATCTTCTACAGACATAATGCGGAAGTTTTAGGATCAATTCTCTGATACCATGAAAAATAGGACTAAACTTTTCTATATTTTCTATGTATTACAAAACAAGGTTACACGAGTATATATACTTGCAAGACTTCCTAAGTTTAAGGAGTACAATTAGAAAACAAATCAACTTACTCCTAAATATACGGAATTACAGCAAGAATAGAATGTATGGAAATAATTGAAAATCTTCAACTATATGATTTAAATTTAACCAAATCTTAACATATTCCATCCCAACTTATAATTTCTCTCACAATTTTCTTTACTTAACTGAAAAGCCCTATAAGTAATGTAAGTAAACCAAATGCGAGGTGTGGTATGATGGGCGTCTGAGAACTGATTTTCAGAGTGACAAATCAAGAATATAAAGAGGATTTACTTTAGATCTGGGGTCATGAGACTTGTGGGGGTGGTATTGTGGTTCATTTTATATAGACACTTGAGTTAGCAACTTTGACACTGAAAAGAAAGATGAAAAAAATAAGTCTTTAGGTTCTCTTTGGATTTTTGGCCATGTTTTCTTGGCTATAGGAGTATTTGAGTTTTCGGAGGGTTCTTTATTACTATAAAAGGGATTTGCTTGAGCAACCAAATCAAGTCTGGGAGCCCTTTTCATACTGGTACAGTTATTCTCTGAATTTCTCAAATATCCTCTGCATTTGCTGAGTTAAGGGTAGTTGGTCTTTAATTTCCTATTGAACCTGCCAAAAAAGAACAAGGAGACAGGTATTTGAGATTAGAGATCTGCTTGGTTGATTTTCTCATCAATGGTTTTTATTTGGGGGAACCTTCGATATATTTTCCATTGGATATGTTACTGTTGGTTGATTTTCTCGTCAATTGTTTTATTTGGGGAACCTTCGGTATATTTTCCATTGGATATGTTACTGTAAAAGAAATTTCTACCATTTATCTACAAGATTTGTGCTTGAATTTTAGTTATTCTTGAGAAATGTAACTAGATGTTCAGTTCAACAGTCTATCAATTACATTTGCAATGAAAAGTGCTGATTTTGAAGTGTGATATATAATTTTATTACAATCATAATATTTGATCCAACTTGAAAATATATGTAGGTGTTATTTCTTCTAAAAATGTCAGTGGAAATGGGACCGAGCCAAGTAATCCAAGCAGCAGGGCATCATCTGCTTCTATACCCAAGATTCCTTCGAGCGAGGGTGAGATCTTGCAATCCTCCAACTTGACAAGCTTCACATTCAGCTATCATATAATAAGTGCATCCATTCCTTTGCTTACCTCCTCAAGTCACTTATTCGATGTTAATTTTCTTTCTAATTACAAATATTTTAAATTATATAATGTGAAAAGTTTTCAAGAAACAAACAAGATTGTTACAACAACTTATTTAATGCTCGGTTAGAATATTTCTATATCTGAATCCGATAAAATTGTATAAAACTTGACTGCTATCTGAGAATGTAGTATTTGAGAAAGACAACATTCGCAAGAACAGGAAAGCCAACAACTTAGAAGAATTACTTCCAACTTCAATTAATTAGTTGAGTTAATCTTGATTGAGAAAATAATATACCCCACTCAAATTGTCTGTGTAGAGAAGTCAATGTAGAAAAGCAAGTCAATCTCCTGTTGTTCACAATAAGGTCCAAAAAGTGATTTCTTTTCATATTACCCTGCAAAGAAGAAGAACAAGAAGAGTAGCTAAACAATCCATGCCTCACTTTTTTTCCATCCCGACTTATAATTTCATAATTTTCTTTGCTAAACTGAAAAGCCCTGTAAGAAAACCACCTGTTCATCTTCAAGCTTGCTGTTTTGTGAGGAGGTGCAGTATGGTGGGTGGCTGAGAACTAATTTTGAGAGTGACAAATCAAGCATATTACGAGGATTTACTTTAGATCTGGGTCACAAGTCTAGTGGGGGTGGAATTGAGGTTCGTTTCATATAGACACTTGATTTAGCAACTTGTTAGTTCTTTATGCTTGCATACCGAAAAATAAAAAATAAAAATCTTGAGGTTTTCTTTTGATTTTTGGTCTTGTTTTCTTGGGCTATAAGGGATTTGGGATTTTGGAGGGTTTTTTTAGTACTGTAAATGGGATTTGCTTGAGCAACTAAATCAAGGCTGAAAACCCTTTTCGTACGGGTACAATTATTTCCTGAATTTATCAATCCATTTAGCAATAGACTAGAATGCCTTGCTCTTTGTTATTGTTTCAGTTTTTCGAAAGGTCACCTCTATTTAATCTTGTAGCTATGTTTTAAGAAGTAGAATTTTTGGCATATAAATTAATTATTACAAAAAAAATTGTCTTCCTTAGTTGCTTACATGATTTCTTGTTCATTTATATCCTGTTAATAAGGTCATGTTTCCCCTCCACCATATGTTTATGCTTTTTTTCTATAATTGCTAATTTTTTTAGTATAGAAGGAATACATTGGCTGCAAGTGAAATTAAAATTCACAGCCTGTGCATTTACTGAGTTAAGGGTAATTGGTCTTTAATTTCCTATTAAACCTGCCAAGAAAGAACAGTGTTCCTGCTTTGATGATTTTCACATCAATGGTTTTTATTTGGGGGAAACCATTGATATATTATACATTGTATATGTTATTGTAAAAGAGATATCTACCATTTATCTACACGATTTGTGCTTAAATTTTAGTTATGCTTAAGAAAATGTAATATTTGTCTGGTTCAACATTCTATCAATTATGTTGGCAATGAAAAGTGCTGATTTTGAATTTGTGATATATTATTTTTTTTTTTACAATCAAAATATTTGGTCTAACTGGAAAATATATGTAGGTACTATTTCTTCTAAAAATTTCAGTGGAAATGAGACCGAGGTAAGCCAGCCAAGCAGCAGGGCATCATCTGCTTCTATACCGCCAAGCAGCAGGGCATCATCTGCTTCTATACCGCCAAGAAGCAGGGCATCATCTGCTTCTATACCGCCAAGCAGCAGGGCATCATCTGCTTCTATACCCCACGGACGGCTGTATGCACTTTAATAATTTGTTTTTAACTTGCCTAATTTCCAAACATTATTCTTAAGGTGAAAAAGGGCCAGTAGCCCAAAATAAGGAAACTAGTTACTATTGCATCAATTCTACTGTGATGGGTCATGGACTCACAGATCGACTATTTTTTCTTCTTTACTTTCATAAAAATTTCAAAGGGAAAGTAGTAATTGTAACGCCCCGACCCGTATAGATCGAAACGTTACTAGATTAACTTTACTTTTAGCGGAAAGCATTTGTGAGTATATAATTTAACAAAGCATTATGTTGCTTCAAATTAACAAATTTCCACTTTGATTAAAAATTTAATCCTCATGTAATTATATATTTTCCTAGCTAGTTAGTTGCATAAGTAATTAAGTCTACTTTCAAGTTTGCTTCATTTAAAATGTTTCAATTTAAGTTTTATTTTGAAATTTTAGATCTACATATTTATTTTTTTCTCGTTTGAAAATTTAAATACAGAATCAAACAGAGCCACGTTGCAAATTTAAATACAGAATCAAAAATTGAAATTAATGCTTAAAGCTTAAAGTTTGTTACAGCACATCAATTGCATTCTCTTGGTCACAAAACTACTGTAACTTAATCCCTTATCTAATCACTTCAAATATGTTATCATGGACTTGAACAAGCACCACTCAAGCCATGGAAGAAGGAATGGATAATTCTACTTGTACATTATGGCATCCATAATGGATGACATAATGTACAAGTAGCACAACCCAGAAGGAATAGATGATTGGATAAATAACTTCCGCAATAATTAATCAAAAAAGAGTATGAGAAAAATAGAGCCTTGAAATCCTTCGTTGGTGTGTCAGTTCCCTCATATTTTGGAGCCAGGTCGAACGCTTTAAGTTTTGCCTCCTCAAAGTTTAATGCCTGTTCATAAGATCGCGTTGTGAAGAAAATTTTCTAATGCAAGACTAAGATTAAGCAACCTTACATGTAGAATTGTGATTTCTCTGTAATTACAAACCTGAATAAATAGATACTTTACGTGAATGCAGACTTCCGCAACATCTGCTCTGGCAATAGTTCTCGTTTCAGTCTTAAGGAGTTCGTCATCTTTTCCAACAAGAGCTTCTCTTACACCGCCTTCTTTATCTTGCAAGTCACCAGCCCTATACCAATCAACAGATAATATGGTATCTGCTCTGATACCATATTAGAAAGGATATTGGGTCTAATTCAATTTAATAAAATCGGCTTGTTAGGGAATGATTGCCCTCACCTTATTAAGTGGATCGTGTAAATATCACCAGTCAACGTGAAATTCTAATACAAAGCACATCTAGTCCTGTAAGAGAGTTCTCTGGAACATGCTCTTTAACTTCATAAGAATTAATGTGGCGTGCCAGAGGGGGTTACCTATTGGTTTACCCCCTCACAAAAAGCGTGGCCTCCACATGTATTTAAAAATTCCGGTTTGTGGTCCCCATCCTTTAATGTGAGTGGGGTGTAAAAGATTTGGTAAAAAAATTCGGTAAGTGTAGCATAACTCACTTTATAAATGTGTTCCGAGAACCCATCTACCACCTTTCCACTTAATATTAATCTATGCATTACAAAGTTAAAAAGTTGATGCATATTACTGTGAATAAATCATATCCTGTTAGTTTAATTAATATTAATAGCATACACCTGTGAACCAGGATCCTAGCAATGGTTCCATCCAAGTTCCTGGGTATTGCTGCAGATTAATGGAAAAGAAACTAATATTGCATCCTAAGCAGGGATGGCAAAAAAACTCGACAAAGATAACCCGCTTAATCAGGTAACGGGGCAGGGAATTTTGTTCCGGGGGCGGGAACGGCTAACAGGGGCCCCACCCAGCCCAGCTAATTTTTTTTTTAGAATTCAATACTTTAAATGAAAATTTTCATTAGTTATAATAGAATATAGCAACTAAAATTATTTGTCTAAATCTAATAAATATTGACAATAAAAATAAATTATCAAAAACTAAAAAAAAATTTAAACAGGGAAAGGCCCCGACCTGCCCCGTTGCCATCTCTAAGCCTAAGTTTATATTGGGGTAAAACATACTTGTAACTACTTGCACCTAATTTTTGCATGCAAAAACATGAGCCTCATAGAAGGTTAAGAATGCATTTTGGAATAGTAGATTGATAGAGAATGTGGTTAAAATATAAGGAAAAGTTTTGAATTTTCATATAATATTATTTTACTGAAGAATGTGTGGTTAAAAAGAAGAGAAGGAAAAATGTATTTTGAAAAAAATGGAAATCAAACAAGGACTAGGTGTAGAAGAGAAAACAAGTGCGTACCTAATAATGGTGTATGGAATTCCAGAGTCAGCTAAATATTGTTCCGCCTCTCTCTTCCATACCTGTCCTCAGTATATCAGTTAGTATTTAGTGAAACTTTTTTATGAAAATGCAAAGTAGTGATATAAAAACTGGCCGTTATAAGGACATTTTCTGCTCATTATTTTACACTGGAGTTTCCACTTCCATTTAAGATGTACCCATATGATGTTAATAAGAAGTGAGTCTAGGCAAATAAGAGAGATTTTTACATTTCTTTTCCTTTCAAGTTTCAAATAAGAACAATGGAGAACCATTTTCCCAGATTAATAAAATTAATTGACTGCATGAGATGCAGTCTTGCGCTCTGTGCGTGTATAAATAACACACCATTTATGAATTCAACTTAATTGCCCATCAAAGCGACCATACCCAAGATGTGGGTTGGGCTCAGTGAAATGTATGGAGGTAGAGAAGAATAATGAAAACATAGGACAGTTGTTCTCATGTTGTAGTAGAGATTGTGAATTTTTCGATTGAAATGATATTTCGTCATCGGGTAAAAACCCATTCACAATTTTAAGGTATGCATTTCAAGAGATTTTCTCAAATAACCGAACAAGAAGACGTGGAGATATCCGTGAACAGAACTATCTGCAAGGAAAAAGGATCTACGGAAGAGAACGGAAAATGAAAGGAAAGGAAAGAGAAATGTGAATATTCTCCAACTACCTAATGGGAGAAAAGACTAATGTTGTAAATTTCATATTTTTGTAGTCGATGCCAACTTTGGTGTAAATTACGTTTGGTGTATGTTGAAAGTTGGTGTACATTTATCTTTTCAATGTCAATTGGAGTAGTTTTTACTTATGAGATAAATGTTAAGACTCATTTTTTTTATTTGTTGAGCAAGCCAAATCTCTTGCAACTTATTGTTCTTATTCAAGCACTAATATTATGTCTAAAAGGCCTAAATGCCACATTATGAGTGGAGTAACTCGCTTAAGGCCTTTATTTTTTTTTTAATCAACAAGAATAAGTAATTACCAGAATGACAATGTCTCTTGCAGCAATGGCTAATATACCAGCACATGAAACTGTATGAGGACAAGCCTTTACTATCATTGCAGTAAAGTTCAATGACACGAGTAGATTTAGACACACAGACCCATATCACCAACATTTACTCCAAAATTTCAAAAGAGAAATTTTACATTAACAGGAACACGAACAGTTAATATTAATTCCTGCCTAGCATGTATGCTAAAAAAATTACTACCATTGTCACTGAATTAAACTAAAGAGTACTATCATTGTCTTTACACAAAAATGGATGTAGCTCTTGTCATCTTAGCAACTCTTCTTTTTCCTGCCCTTGCCGCTCTCAGCTTTGATTCAGCCTCATTCATATATCATAATTCGTCGACCATTTCTTCAAAATTAACTTCCACGGTTGGGACATTAGATGCTACGAAATGTCCATGTTCATATTGATCACCAATGGGCATTATAACTGCTGGGCCAGGTGTAACACGATCCGCTCCTATTTTGGGCGCAACCATCGGCGTTGGCATAATATGGAGAGAAGTCTCATGTGCGATGTTCTTTGCCGAAGATGCACTCTTTCCTCCAGCGGCAACCATTTTACCCTTAACATAGAAATCAGATTGCATTGAAAAATAGTGCAGCACATAAACCAAGAATTAAAAATAGGGTACAGTTTCAAGAATTAGTGCTATATTATTTAGCCATCATTTGGCTCCAATTATTCGGTATGATAATTTTTGGAATAATGCTTTTTTTAGAATGTGTGGTTGAAAAAAAAAAATTCGATTTACGTATAATAGCATTTTATTGGAGGATATGTGGTTGAAAAAAAAGAAAGAAAAATACATTATAATTTTAATGGAGGCCAAACAGGGCGTAATGTTATAACCAAACAAAGCTCATGCTGGAACAGTCTTTAGATATACACAAGCAGCTTACAAACACGTCTTTAATTCTCAATAATTACAGAAAAATAAAAAATAAAAAAAGGAAAGTGTACAAGAGAAGATACAATATTCAAATTACATACAAAAATTTTAAAAGCAAACAACATAATCAATTTCTAATCTTGACCTCCACTATCTCAGATTTTTGTCACAGTCTCGATATTTCAAAATACTGTGAGAATAACACTGTGCACCAGTTTGGGGATTTCTGTATGATGAAGAAGACGTGCTTGTGCTATATGTGAGAGAAGGCGCATTTTAATTTGAAAATAAATGGAAAGGCGAGTTTGGCTGATTATGACATGGCATTAGACTTGACTAATAACTTAGAATAATGCTACTTACAGTCGCTCACTGCAGAAGTCGCCCCTATTTGGCATACACATGTCAAGTGTGTCACATAGGGCGACTGCTACAGTGAACGACTGCAAGTAGCATTACTCAATAACTTGATATTTAACGCGCCACATGTAGTAAAGGTTTTTAATCTAGTGGTCAATGGAGATAGACGAAGTAAAATTTAGGGTGTGTTTGAGTCACATTATTTTGAAAACACGTATTATGAAATAGTAGATTGATGGAGAATGTGTGGTTGAAAAAGAAGGAAAAGTTATTAATGTGATGTAAAATATTACTTTATTGAGGAATATGTAGTTAAAAATGAGTAAAAAAATAAAAATATTAATGTACAGTCTCGATATTTCAAAATACTGTAAAAAAAATTTGGAATTACCTTCAATTGGACCCCCCACGTGCACGCCTTCCTCGGTTGAACGGATGTGTGAGGCCTTCAGTAGTGGGGTAGTATCGATTGGGTGTTAGAGTTTGGAAAATTTTGGGGCGTGTGAGAATAACACTACGCACCAGTTTGCGGATTTCTGTGTGATGAAGAAGACGTGCTTGTGCTTTATGTGAGAGAAGGCGCATTTTAATTTGAAAATAAATGTGACATGGCATTAGACTTGACTAATAACTTAATATTTAAGGCGCCACATGCAGTAAAGGATTTCATCTGGTGGCGAATGGAGATACACAGAGTAAAATTTAGTGACCAGTGAAAAAAGTTGTGAAGTACAGTGGGAATCATGACATTTAGGGCATGTTTGGTACGGCTCAAAATTCAATTAAAATTGAAAATATAACCGTTATTGGGTCCCACTCATCTAATAAAAGTCAACAATAACGGCTAATTTTTCAATTTTAATCCGATTTTAATCTCTACCAAACACCCTCTTAGTAAAAGTCAATGGCCACTGAAGTAAAATTTAGTGACCAGTGAAAAAAGTTGTGAAGTACAGTGGGAATCATGACATTTAGGGCATGTTTGGTACGGCTCAAAATTCAATTAAAATTGAAAATATAACCGTTATTGGGTCCCACTCATCTAATAAAAGTCAACAATAACGGCTAATTTTTCAATTTTAATCCGATTTTAATCTTTACCAAACACCCTCTTAGTAAAATTCAATGGCCACTGAAACATTTAACTCAATCAGTCGAGGCAAACTAGAAACAATTAAGTTCACCAATTCCTTTGCCTTTCACATCAAGTCCATTCATTATTTATTTTCTTTCTGATTAAAAATAATTTTAAATTATACAACGTGGAGTTTTCAAGAAAATGCTCCACCAATTTGGAAAACCAAGTCAAATCTCCTCTAATTCGCAAGAAGGTCCAAAACGTGGTTTCTTTTCCTAAGGTTAAATCCACTGGTGGTCACTCAACTTTATACTTGGTGTCACTATGACCACTCAATTTGATTTTATTTCACCATGACCACTCAACTGTATACACAGTGTTATTATGGCCATTAAATTTAATTTTATTTCACCAAAATCATCTAATTTCATATAACGTTTTACTATGACCACTCAATTTCATATAACATTTCACAATGGTCGCTAAACTTTTTTTTTTTTATCATTTTCATTAATCTTAAAATGGTAAAATAGTAATTTTGCATTATATATAAAATAAATTAAAATAAAAACTTATTTTTAAAAATAAAAGAAAATAAAATAAAAATTTATTTAAAAAAAGTTACTTAACAATAAAATAAAATAAAAACTTATTTTTTAAAAAAAATATTTAGAAAAATAAAATAAAAACTTATTTTAAAATAAACGTTTTAAGTTTGTTTTTTTTTTTTTCTAAGTTTTTGTTTTGATTTTTTTTAAATTTATTTTATATATATAATAGAAAGTTATCGTTTTATTCTTTTTAAAATTAATAAAATTTTTGTCAAGTTATAACTGAAAACACCTAAAACGACAATTTTGTTGTTTTGTGTTTTCTTTGTAAATTTTCAACCCCTTTTCAAAAACAAGTTTTCGAAAATAGGATAGAGAACGCGTTTTCACTGTTTTGAAAAATCGAAAACAGAAAACGGGTTGAAAATGACAAAGAGAACAGGCCCTTAAGTTCACCAATTCCTTTGCCTTTCACATCAAGTCCATTCATTATTTATTTTCTTTCTGATTAAAAATAATTTTAAATTATATAACGTGGAGTTTTCAAGAAAATGCTCCACCAATTTGGAAAACCAAGTCAATCTCCTCTAATTCACAAGAAGGTCCAAAACGTGGTTTCTTTTCGTAAGGTTAAATCCACTAGTGGCAACTCAACTTTATACTTGGTGTCGCTATGATCACTCAACTTTATACTCAATATCATTATGGCCATTAAATTTAATTTTATTTCACCAAAACCATCTAATTTCATATAACGTTTCACTATGACCACTCAATTTCATATAACATTTCACCATGGTTGCTAAACTTTTTTTTTTTTTTTTTTTTTATCATTTTCATTAACCTTGAAATGGTAAAACAGTAATTTTGCATTATATATAAAATAAATTAAAATAAAAACTTATTTTTAAAAATAAAATAAAATAAAAATTTATTTAAAAAAAGTTACTTAGAACAATAAAATAAAATAAAAACTTATTTTTTTAAAATAAAATATTTAGAAAAATAAAATAAAATAAAAGCTTATTTTAAAATAAACGTTTTAAGTTTGTTTGTTTTTTTAATAAGTTTTTGTTTTGATTTTTTTAAAATTTATTTTATATATATAATAGAAAGTTATCGTTTTATTCTTTTTAAAATTAATGAAAATGATAAAAAGAAGTTGAGTGACTATGGTGAAATTATGTAGTCATAGTGAGACGATATATAAAATTGGATGATCTTGGTGAAATAAAATCAAATTAATCGATCATATTGATACTAAATATAAAATTGAGTGAGATAGTAAAACAAAATGAAAGAGAGTAATGATGCTAAAACCAACTATAATCCAAAAAATTGATTTTTTTGACCCTTTTTCCAGTAAGTGGGTCCCATATTGAGATAGAATTCGGCTTAGAATTCCAACGGTCAGTCCAACTCCAACTGTCTGAAAAGCAATCAAAAGCGGATGAAAATTGGAAAAGACGGGCTGAATTTAACCCCTTTTCATACGATACTGCAAAGAAAAGAACAAGAAGAGTAGTTAAACAATCCATTTCTCACTATTTTCATCCAAACTGATAGTTTCTCTCATAATTTTCTTTGCTTAGCTGAAAAGCCCTGTAAGAAAACCACTTGTTCATCTTCAAGCTTGAATTTTGTGGGGGAGGTGGGGTTGGTGAGCGGCTGAGAACTAATTTTGAGAACGAAAAATCAAGAATATTAAGATTTCTGGGTCACGAGACTTGTGGCGGTGGTACTGCGGTTCATTTAGTATAGACACTTGAGTTAGCAACTTGTTTGATCTTTTTCCTTGCATACTGAAAACTAAAAATAGAAATCTTGAGGTTTTCTTTGGATTTTTGGCCTTGTGTTCTTGGGCTCTAAGAGTTTTAAGTTTTTGAAGGGTTCTTTAGTACTGTAATGGGGATATGCTTGAGCAACCAAATCAAGGCTGAGAGCCCTTTTCATACTGGTACAGTTATTTTCTGAATTTCTCAATCCATTTAGCAATAGACTAGAATGTCTTGCTCTTCATTATTGCTCCAGTTTTCCAATTATGGGAAAGCCCACCTCTGTTTAATTTTGTAACTTCGTTTTCAGAAGTAGAATTTGCGACATATGAACCCATTTGCATTTCTTAGTTGTTTATATGATTTCTTGTTCCTTTATATCCTG